TTGGCATCTGAGGAATGTAATTTTTTTGCAAACAAAAAAGAGGAATTAGTTTGCTTTAAAACCAGCTGATAAAGAAGCTGTGAAAAGTTAGTTTGGAGATTTGTTTTCTTTTCAGCTTCTTGTGTCCCACTTGCAGAGTATGAGGTTCCCTCCAGTAACTGAGTCCTTATTTGCTTTTTCTTTTCTTACACTGCTGTCTCTGCAATGGGTTTATAATGTATTTAAGCACTAGGTCTCTTGTAGCGTATATTTGATTTAAATACTTAGGAAATACATTTGTGTTGCTGGATGCAGCAGTTCTCTGCACTATAAATCAAGACTGCTACCCTGTTTTTCTCACATAACAGACCTCTTTAATTTTGGGGAGATGATATTTCTTGAGAAATTAATTGCCCAAAGCTAGAAATAGTTTGCTTCTGCTCAAGTTGTTACAAGGCCTCTGTTAAGGGAGTGGGGTTCCTGCTCCATAGGAGAGCAGGCTAGAGCCGTGGGGTTCCCACACATGCCCAGGTCTCAGGCAGAGACAGGGATTGGCATCAAAGGTTTTTGGGAACTTTCTCAAGCACAGAAGTGTAGGTGCAGGAGAGGTGGAGTTCGGACCTCAGCCATAGCAGCTGGCTTCTGGCCACTTTGCGGACTGCCCTTCCTTCCAGATGGTTGTGCAGCTTATTTAGGTGGAGGCTTTTCCACTCTGAGGGTGAAGCACATCCATCAGCCCTCTTGAGAAAACTGTTACTCCAGGGCACAGCATGAGCAGAAGAGAATTCCAGAGCGTTGCTGCATGAAGTCTTAATTATTTCCTCATTTTTGGTGATTTATTTTTTGTGTAGGACACCCTGAACGTTGGCAGAACGCATGTCAGCCCCTTTCCTTCTTTCTTGCTTGTAGGGCCTAGCTGCAGTACAGCTATATCCTGCTTCTCTGGTACAACCACTTAGCTCAAGTTTACACAGTGACAGCCTCAGCATTGAGAACAAATGCACCCAGCTAGTGCCAAAACAAAGTGACATGAAAAACATGAGAGTGCAGGGAAGAAATTCCTCACTGTCATTGACCTGAGCCTCATTGCTCCTCTGTGACTGGGAGCCTTACGCCTTTATGTGTGCAGGCACACACCTGCCTCCTTGAACCTCACGTCATGGCTGCCAGAGCATGCCAGTGTTGCCACGTGTGGCCACTTTTTTCAGGCAGGTGCTAACGGCCACCTCTGTCACAGGAAGACTCTGTTACCACCACTGGTCTATAACAAGTAAACACCCATGGCGTAGTTACCTCCCGACAGCTCTTACAGCTTCTCCACGTGGTTTTTGTTGAGGGGTGATACCACCACATTTGCTTTTGCTCTAGGAGAGTAGCATGGCCAACTTTGCAGAAGTAACCAAAGGCTTTCATTTGGCCTCTCGTTGCCACTTGTGCTTCGCCATCAGCTTCCCAACCAATCTGTCCTCAACTAGCCTGCATGTCTCTCGCTTAGTACCCTCCCAGAAAGCATCCTGCCCAGTCAGATGGCATATTTGAAGGACAGATGAAAAGAATGAGCCAGCACAGACAAACCTCAATCAGAAAAAGTTGTGTGTCTTTCATGAGGATGCTGTTTTGCATGTTGCTGTATTTTTTAATTATTGTAATGAGGTGTGATTGTCTATTGGTTACCCACAATACTTCTTGGGGACTCTCCCCCGGTAACTCTTGTCAACACTTGTTAATCTGACAAAAGGCTACAAATTAAGCTCTGTTAATTTAATGTTTTCTCACCGAGATCTAAATACCGAAAGAGGCCCAAAGCGCAACTGAAGTCCTTTGATTCACTGTACTTTATTTTGGTATAAATTTACATTCATTATTGTTTTCCTTTGGATGTGTAGCCCTCAATTAGTGTGATGGCTCCATTAAAGCAAGCGAGACTTCGCCTTTAATTATTACAACAAAACACCTAGTTTCAGCTTGGGGAGAGGGTCTCTATTGACATAAGCAGAGGTTATAAAATTTAATTAGCCATTCCTATCAGATTTATGGCATTCAAATTGTTCTGTGTTTCTTTCCTTTGATCCTTGCTGTACAATCCCCAAGATTTTTGTTCTGATCAAATGAGAATAAAGCTTACTGTGCAGAGAGAAGTTTTTTGTTGTTTTTTTTTTTTAAAAAAAAAAAAACACCCTTTTTTCTTTCTCTCATTCTCTTTTTCCCTTCTTTTTTGCCAGGCAAGGTCAGCCAGTGTACCCAATCACAACAGGGGGTTTCCGCCACCCTTACCCAACAGCTCTGACCGTCAATGCTTCCATGTCAAGGTGAGTTCAAACGCTGAGGTCCTGAACTGAGAGCGAATGTAACTCTTGCTGCCCTCTCTAAAGGAGGGCATTTCATCTAGGAAGGGTGTTTCTGAAGGCACTTCAGTTAAAGAGTCATCTGTAGCTTTTTGGTGGGGTGGAGGAGGAGAGGACATGGGGTACCTTCCTGTTTGAGGAGCTGGGGATGTCCTAGTGCTGTCACTGAGCTTTAAGAATTTGGTTTTGAGGGAGAAGTGGAGAAGGAATTTGTCCTTAAAAGACAAGCTAAATGAAAAAGCTGGGAGAATGTGATGTTGGAAAAGCAAGGAGGAGAAGCTGTGATACTTTTTCCTTTCTCTTGGGTGTCACCCGGAGCAGTGCTCTGTGTGTGAGGGAGGTGTCTCGGGATGGAGGAGGGCTGCTCTTTCAGCAAAGTTGGGAGGAAGGTTATTGCACTATGTTTTCCCCTACCAAAGCTCCAAACACTGATAGTCAACCTAAAAAGGCTTGCCTGGCCCTCTAAAGCTTTAGAAGTATATATTTCTCCCCCTCCCTCCAATTAATTCCATCTAATTTTCCAGGGGCTGCTAGTTTTATTTACAAACTGGTTGGCAGCACTATGTTTAAGTAATCACTAATTGCTCCTAATGATAGTTTTATTTTCAGTTCATCTGATTTTCAGTCTGGTTAATTAAATCGGTGGAGGTTTAGACTTTCCTGATGGGCTGAAACAGCTAATCCATTTTGATGATGGCACGTAATTAAATTAGCATGCATTACATAGCAAGGTTCCATGTCTCTTCCCTGCTCTGTCCCTTCCTTTCCATCTCTGCAGTTTAATATGTGAAGGTGGTGTATAGAGGATTTAAGGAGGAAAAGGTTGGGGGCGGGCTGTGGGGAAACACACCTCATTGAGAAATGGAAATTGTAACTAGAGCTCGTGAATGAATGGAAAGGAAATAGTGTGTCATGTGTTTTAGATAACTAGAGTAAAAGAGAAAAAATTTAAGGTTTTCCCTTGTTGCTCCAGCAAATAGAGAGACAACTGGAAAATCAACTTAAAAAAAAAAAAAAAGAATAGACCCAGCAGAGGGGAGAAAAAATCCTGGGCTGGGGAGAGAGCTGCAAATTTAAACAGTGTCTCCCTCCCTTCATTTAATCTTTTTTAATATCTATAAAAGACTTGCAGGCATGGTGTGAGGCAAAGTAGAGCTTGATTTAGTTTAATTATTATTAGAGAGGCTAGTCATTTGAGGGAGGGGGGAGATGTGGGAGGGGGGAGGCTATATTCCCAAGATAGGCTTTATGAAAGGTATCTAGTTAAAAAGAGTACACAGCAAATTAAATACATTATTGTGGTAATGGGACGACAGAAGTAGAGGTCTATTATACTTATGGCAGTTATAGGAAATGTAGGCTCCTTGCCCTGTTCTAGCACATCCTTTGATATTCATTCCATTCAGCAGCAGGGCCAGGACTTCTCAGAATTAAGTGATGGGTCATTATACTTTAAACACCATGGAGAAGCCTAGATTGGCAATTAAACAGCACTTGCTGACACTCGCTTGTGCCACCCTGTGACCCCCTTTAGATTGAGTTGTTGGAGCTCGGGGCCCTCAGCCTGCTAAATTGGTAGCAGGCACTTCTCCTGACGAGGGCTGGCTCTGAAATCTGCCGGCTTCAAAGGGAGCAAGATCATGTATAAACCATAATGTGGGTGCACCGTGGCTCAAAAAATAAGGCAGGAATAGATGAAATGTTACAAGTGCAAGGGGAAAATGAGAGAATAATGACAAATCTAATGCAACTCAAAGCAGAATTGTTGCACAGAAAAATGCATCCCACTGCTTGTGCATAAAATCAAGGCAGGCAGATGACATCCAGTTAACAGAAACATGTCAACAGTGAAGTAAAGTGAGAGTGAGTAAGAGAGAAGCCCCTGAGACAGCCAGGAACAAAAAATTAGTTGTCCTTAACAAGTTAAGACTCATCATTATATTCTGGCTTGGAGCCATAAAAGGAGACAGTGGTGTATAATGAGCTGCTTAGAATTTTTAGGATGTTTATTGCAGTTCATGGAATACTTGTCTGGAGAAAATAATACGAGGGGATGTCTTCGGCGAAGGTGAGGGGTGTGCTTCTGTGCACAGAGCCTTTCTTTTTGTCTCTGACAGAAGCCCACACACGCACACATGCTCAGACGTACACGCAGGCTGACGAATAGATTTAAGATGTTTATCCTTTGTTTCAGCGCAGAAACTTCTCTCCTGCTTTCCCGTGCATGGGAAACACCCTCTGGGCAGACGGCGCTCTGATACGTCGTTCCACACAGGTTTTCTCCTGCCCGACGTATCGGCTGGGGGGGAAGGACAGCCCATGCCCTCAGTAGCCAGCGTAGCTGGAGACGGGGCTGGCGTGCCCGGGGATACCCACGCTTGCCCACAGACGTGCCCCTTTGTGGCTGGCCTCCAGGCCACAGCCCTTTGGGGTGGTCTTATTGGCTCTGTCCAGATGTTGAAGCTGGGGCAGACCCCAACCTGAGCCCTCCGTCCACGTTTTTCCCGAGCCTTCACTTAAAAGTCGTTCCCGTCTTTGCCTGCGTTACGGTACAGACCTTGGGAGCATATAATGCTTCCCAACCCTGAATATTCCCTGAGCTTAGTAATTACAGTTCATTAGTTAGAATGTGCTTATGAATAGTTTATAAAAGGTTAATGGGTGACTAATAGTGATTTTCATAAATGGTTTAAACTGTTAAGGTAGTGTCTTCAGACTGTTTTAACCATTTACAAACCTTTTCTCCGCTTGTAGCATCGCCCCACTCGTTTTGTATGCATGCAACATGCTTGTAACATCTCTTGATCCTTCATTACCCCTCTGTTATATGTCCTTAATGTAAATTGAGGTCGGGTTAACTGACTGGTGGGCAAACAGTGGACCCACTATGAAAAAAACAACTGCTGTGAGAGGAAATCAGGAAATAATTTAGCAGAATTACACCAGATGAACACTGTGCAGCAGTTAAGTGGTGGCAGTGGAAAATACCTTCTGTAATTGAAATTTCAGGGGAAATTCACATTCACCGAATGTAATTACTGAAGTTGGAGTGTAGCCAGAAACTTAAAAATTAATAGTTTTCCTCTACTCGTATTGCCACATGAGTGGATGTCTACAGGTAAATAAGCAGCCACTTAGACTTTGGGCTGAACCTCCACTCGGCCCACTGAAGTCCATGGGATTGTGAGAGCAACTTTGGCTTGAAGTGTGTTTTTATAGCCCCAAACATAGGAAAGGGTGTGTAAGTCCAATAGGCAGCCTCATGTCCTGGAGGGAGAGACATTCAGTGTGAAATAATCTATGGTCATCAGCAGTGAACTCACAACTTGGGGAAACTGCCACCCCAGAAGTAACCACTGAGCTGCAGCTGTCTGTTGATGAAAGCTGCCCTGTCTCTGAGGTTCACAGCTCAGTGGGTAAAATCTCAGCCCTGCTGAAGTCAGTGAAGGCTTCATCATCCTCCAGTTTTTCACCCAATATGTGTGTGTAGGCTTCTCCTCCTCTGCTGCCCTTCCTCCGCATCTGGTCACTCTGATGTGCAAATACTTACTTTCCTTCTTTTAAGTGGTAACTGGGAAAATACTTTTCCCATAGCTGGGGGGGAAGTTAAATTTTTTGCAGATTTTCTTCAATCTTCTCAATTTTTTGTTAGCTGGAGGTACCTAAATCTTCATCAAGAATAAACAAGTAAAATAACCCCTTATCTTGTCTTGAATTGGTTCCTTTGAACATCCTGACCGTACAACAACCCATCATGTAGGCAGAGTTCATTTTGCAGAGTGTTTTAATTTTTGACTAGATAGATACTCATTTGAGAAGCAAGTCCATGAGCCAGTTATCCTGGCCGTATCACAGGATCATCTTCAGAAGCTTAACAAGCACCATCCTCTGTCCCCAGTAGCTCCAGCTGTAATCAGTCTCTTGTGGTATTTAGGAGCCCTTCTCTAGTGATGAGTCTAATCTTATTCAGGTCCTCTCTCACACCTTTCTGCCCATGTGCTACCACTGCACTCGGATCTTCCTCCTTGGTGGTGTGTGCCCGTTGCCCTTCTCATTGTGTCCTCATGTCAGACAGGAACAGCTCTTCTTGCCTGCTCTCTGAAAGTAGACTTTTCTTCTCCATCTCCATCCTTCATTGTCCCCTTGTCCCTGTGTTCTGGCTCTCATTCCAGTTTGAACCCCACCTAGCCTCAGCAGCATAGTCTTTTCTTGACCTAGAGGTCTTGCCTAGGACAGAGAGTCATTCCATAGGATGTATGTCAACTTTTTGTCACTATGCTTATATCACTTTCAGTGAGGTCAGAGTTTTGCCATGGGGTTTTTCTTTCTGTCCATGTTTGCAAGTTATATTCTTTTTAAAAGCTCTTAGTGTCAGTTTTTATTGTTTGCATTGTGCTATGGCTGAAGGCCACAGGCACTATGCCAACAGTATGTCCGATCAAAATACATACACATGAAAATAGAGGGAAGACAGAAAAAAAAATAAATACAGAGGCCCAGGTTGTGCCTTGCTGATGGTGAGACACTTCTGTGGCAGAAGTGGGACCAGGATGTCCGTCTCCTTGCAGCCCCTCGGTTGTCTTCTGTTCTGACCTACCACCACCAAAGCATTTCCTCGAGCGTACATTTCTCCCCCAGCCACTTTTGTCAGGGAGTGGGCAAGGCATTCTGACAGTCCGCTTGGAGATTTGTGTCCATCAGTCTTTAGCAGAAGTAGGAGGGGTCATTTTGCTACCCGTTTTCCTCTTCCTTTGCCGTCGCACCCTCCTCCTTCCCTTCTTTCTGTGCCTCTGTGAAGAGCTGCAGTTCTGTACAGTTTGAACAACTTGATGTTCTCCCTGTCAGTGCCTGCTCTTCCCACCACTGCCTTCAAAGACAAAAGACTTCTGTCTGATGGTCCTGAGTACTGCAGCTGATGGGCAAGATCCTCAGAGCTTGTAGTGGACAGTACCTCTTGTTCATGAAAGTACTACTGTGTTGTCTTGTAAATGTAGGGAATGTCCAGGCAGTTGCGGGGGGGATTAAGCTCAATAGTAGAATTTATAAGGGGAGGGAGAATAAAATAAATCACATTATATTTCTGATGCTTCTACACAGTGTACTTATCCATGGTATATCACCCCATTTTAAATCCTGTTCGATAGAAAAAAATCATTGTATGTTGGTGATAGAAAAATTAATTCTTTATCCCATTGTGTGTTCCGTATTCTTGGTGTATTTTATGTGGACCAAGATGGTTCAAAATCTAGGATGAAAGTATGGATTAGCAATGATAAAAAACCTTGTCGTTTGCCAGATCACTTTAGCTTTGGAATTTTGAGGGATGTTATTTCTGAGTCAAAATTTTAGGCTAGGTCCCAGTCCCTGGGAATCTGCTGACTTCAGCAGGGATTTTCTAAGAGAAAGACAATCAGTCATAATGTGCTTTCCTTAATCACTGCAAATCCTTTCTGAGGCTGTTGGGAAATAACGATAAAAAGTCAGTCCTCCTTTTGAGAAATTAATTCATTTTGGTTAAAAAATAAAAAGTCTGTACAATTGTGCCATATTCGTGCTGTGGCCCCGGCTGAACGATTAGATTTGTGTGGAAGGGTTGCACATCCCTCTGAATCCAGTTGCAGGACTGGGGCCTCTCCATGTATATGACCATGAACCATAAACCTGATGACATTTTTTTCTCCTAAGAAAGGCTAGACTTTATTTTGCATGGATTTAGGCCTTCCTGGGTTACCTTATTGAGTCAAAATTAACATAATTCCATGGTCTTCCCAACTTCTGTTAAAGCAATGTGGCTCAGAGCTATATTAGATACAAATATTTTTTTTTTCCTTCATCAACAAAATGTAGCTGATGAGGTGTCTGTAAGGATTATCAAAAATGCATCTAGATTGTGTCGGCATTAATATTTTATTTTGCTGTCAATATGCAATAAAAGCTGTCATCTCAAATTCACAACATGATTCAGAACTATAAAAATTGATTCCTTGGTTGCCGCAGATAATTTCCTAACAAAGAAAGAGACTGGTGGATTTTCTTGCAGGTAGCTGAAATTCCACTTTCATCCAAGTTCATCCAGTTGAATTTGCCTTTTGTTAAAGATGTTAAAAATCATGATGTCTCATGTCAGTAATGATAATGAAGGGGAAGATTGGCTTTAATGACATTAGAAGAGTCATTATGTTTAATTTATTGCTAATTAATGCTGCCAGCTTTCATATGCTTTGTCTAGCTGTCATGTGCTTGTTATATGCCTTTTTTTTTGGCCGTTTTTTTTTTTTTAATGTGTGTACACATCCCTCCCCATTCATTCATTTTTATTCTGACGATTTACACAGCTTTCTCTCCTCTAGGTTTCCTCCACACATGGTCCCGCCACACCATAGTTTACATACAACTGGAATCCCTCATCCGGCCATAGTCACACCAACAGTCAAACAGGAATCTTCCCAGAGCGATGTCGGCTCACTCCACAGCTCGTAAGTTGTTGCCTCCTTTGTCTTCTTTTTTGAAACACCCTAAGCATCACCTGTGCATGCATGCCTTTAAAAATGCTTGGATTTACGGGAATGGTTTTGCTCTGAAATATTTCTTTACGTTGCTTTTTCTCTTCTGTTCTAATTGATTTGAAGGTGATTTAACTACCAAAGTGTGTCAAAATAATGGTAACAGTCGTCCTGTGACACAGATGAGTAGTTATTCATTTTACCCATTTTAACAAGGAAGCAGAGTTTTCTTGATCAAGATTAAAGCTTCTTGACTGGTTTCCCTGTTATTCAGTGCCTGGATGGAAGCCGTGAGATACCAGATACACAACAGGAGACAATAAATTAGAGCATAAATGTCTTTTCAAAGCTGCAGAGAAAGCTGGTATCAAGTTTAGGTTTGAGCCAAGGAGTGCCCTGGTCTATCTCTGTCTGTAGTGCTTCTGATGCTTCTTGCCTTTCATTTCATTGGTGAAGCAGAAAGACAAGGCGTTGCTTTGCACTGATGATGGGTTGTAATTACTTCCTCTATCATCATGCTCACAACCCCTCCCCATGAACCCATTTTTCTGGGTGCCTGTGTCCTTCCAAGGTTCTTCTAGCGGCTGAAAGTGTGCTTGGTGATATTTCATAAAGATGAGATGTGTTTTCTTGCAATGTTCTTAAAACTGTTCTCATAGAGCACCACGGTGAAGGCTCTAGAGAAACTTCTGGTCCTCTTCTGAGAGATTTCTGAGGATTAATGCCAGAAAGGTTTGAGGGCATTAATGTAATAAACTCACAAAGGTTCTCACTATGAGATTTCTGTCTGTTGTGTCTTTCCACTTCAGAAAACATCAGGACTCCAAAAAAGAAGAAGAGAAAAAGAAGCCACACATAAAGAAACCTCTTAATGCATTTATGTTGTATATGAAGGAAATGAGAGCAAAAGTTGTAGCAGAATGCACATTGAAAGAGAGCGCAGCCATCAACCAAATCCTTGGTCGAAGGGTAGGTAACAGAGGAGAAGCACAAGCAGGGACTGAAACGTGGTAGGATTCAAACCTTCTGAATCGCTGTGTTTTCCTCGTATTTTGATAACGGATTTGGAAGTTACTAAACCAAAAGCCTTGGTTTGGTTTGTGGTTTTAGCAGACAACTAGGTCATTCATGGGGAGGAGGGGGCAGTTAAATAATAGCAGTGTTACTTTGGTGTTATTCCCATGACCCGTAATTTTAATAATCTCAGATTTTTATTTTGTCCTGAAATAGGCAGAATAGCAAATGGGGAAGGAAGAACCTTTTGGGCACCATACCGGTATCAGTACCTGAGAGCTTAGAGGAGGGTGCCACTGAGGGAGGGAGGAGGAGACCTTCTTTTAAACCTGGCTCAGGACAAGTGATTCAGCTGCTGGACCCTGTTCCCTGCTCTTGGATTTTTTTATTTTTCTGAATTCTCTCTCATCAGGAGACGAAGGGGCTGAATGAACATAAATGATTAGTTGTGACTCAGTTGAGTTAACTGTAGTTATAATATGGCTTTATAAATAAAATATGAATGTCAGCATGCCAGATCATCTGATTTTATCTCGTTTTTTATGAAAATAAACTCTAGCTGTGTTTGTATATAAGTAATATACTTCGCTGTTAACACACTTTAAAAAAAACCAACACAAACACTTGTGCTTTTTTATTTTGTCTTTTTCTCTCTTCTTCACCCCAGTGGCACGCGTTATCCAGAGAAGAACAAGCGAAATACTATGAACTAGCAAGAAAGGAACGACAGCTTCATATGCAGCTGTACCCGGGCTGGTCCGCACGGGATAACTATGTAGGTTCCTATGTAGGTGGAAATTTTTTTAGTAGTAGAGCTTGTAGATATGTGTATGTGACCTGCTGAA